GGAACCAGAGCTGAAAAACTCCAGCCGAAGCTAAGAAGTTCCCAGAGGAACTCAGTCCTTTTAGAACCCTTTCAACACTTCATGACTCACATGACTTACCAGTACTGCTGCAGGACCACTTCAAGATTACTGAAGACTGGTGAGAGTACTACTGTACTTTCACCATTCCTTTTCACTCTGTACACCTCAGATTCCCAGTACAACACAGACTCCTGCCATCTGCAGAAATATTCAGATGATTCTGCAGTTATGGTTTTAACTGCATATTTTTAATTGATTTAGCCTTGGTTTTAAAGTTTTTAAAGTTTTTTAATCACATTTTTATTTTGTTTTTATAAGCCAGATGTCAAAGACAAATCTCAATTTCATTGAATGTTATGGACAATAAAGTTGAATTGATTGATTGATTGATTGATTGATTGATTGATTGATTGATTGATTGATCAGAGATGGACAAGAAGCTGAGAACAGGGAACTGGTGGACTGCTTTGTGGCATGGTGTGAAAACAATCATCTCATCTTGAATGTGAACAAAACAAAGGAGATGATTGCAGATTTCAGGAGAAACAAGAAAGGGCCAAACACCATTTCCATCATGGGAGAAGAAGGTGGTAGAGAAGTGCAAATACCTTGGGGTCCACCTGAACAACAGACTGGACTGGAGATGTAACAGTGAAGCCATCTACAAGAAGGGACAGAGCAGACTGAGGAAGCTTAAGCCCTTCAGTGTTTGCAGCAAGATGCTGCATATCTTCTATAAGTCTGTTGTAGAGAGTGTTATCTATTCTGCCATCACCTGCTGGAGTGACAGCACCAGAGCAAGCGGCTTAAACTCAACAACCTAATAAAGAAGGCTGGCTCAGTTCTGGGGACTCCTCTAAAACCTTTGTAGATGATTGTACAAAGAAGGATTCTTCATAAAATGAAGACAACCCTAAACACCCTCTTCATCAGACTGTCATACAACAACAGAGCATCTTCAGTCAGAGGCTTCTTCAGATCCACTGCAAGTCAAGATCCTTCCTGCCCACAGCCATCGTTATCTAGACCAACTCTTTAATGAAACCAAGATGATGAGTTACATCATTTAATTTACCTTTGGGATGAATAAAGTATTTTTAATTTAATTGAATGGAATTAAAGACATCTCCCAGTAGGCTGAGAGCTTCTTAACAAAGCTGTATTTTCTTCTAGTCCCTTTGAAGTCATAAAATAAGTATTGTACTCTGATCTATCTATAATATGAACTTCTGTGGCTTTGTCTGTTTAGCTGTCTTTGATAAGTTTCAAATTTTGAACTTTTCGTTTAATTTCATTTTATTTGTTAATTTCAGTTAAACCTGCCCCTCAACTCATAACAGACCAAAGCTCTTAATTTTTGCCTCAACGTCCCACTTTGTTTTATTCATAAATATCACGTTTATTTTATTTCAAGATTACATTTTTTACTATTTTTACTATTTGTCATACTTGTTATTATATGATTATATCTCAATAAATGTCACATAAACAGGGTCAAATTTAATTAATTTCTGTGTGTGTTTTAATGTAATTATGATATTTCTCTGAAGAAAAAAACTCAAGGTTTGGGGTGATTTATTGAGACTGATAATCCTTTTTTTTTTTTTTTTTTTTTAGCTCAGTTTAAGTGTAGAAACATTGTGAAGTGTTTCAATGAACTTATCATCATCGCTCAATTTTTTATTTTTTTTTTAAAAGAGAGAAGAAAGAAGAATAATTAAATAATAAAAGAGAAATAGATAAAACGAGAGACCACCACGACAAAACAACATGCACAGCACAATGCCACCCACAATATCACCATGAAACATTCGACATTGCACAAGGAATCATCTAGCTTCCACCACTACCCAACCTAGCGTGCATCTGTCACAGCACCTGAATCCAAACACCCGCGCAAGCACGCCTGCCACCACCAGATTTCTCCAAAAGAATGCCCAATAGTGGACGCGGGGGCCCACAGACCCGTCCCCCAGGACACAATGGCAACATAGGGAGGACCGGAGCCACAGACACACAGCGGCCCACAGGCCCGGAGCCCCAGGAGTCTCCCAACAGGGAGAACCGCACCCCCCCAGAGAGGAGCAGAGGAAAGAACCGGGTGACCCCAGCCACCACAATGCAGAGCCTCCAGGAAGCTGCAGCGACGAGCCCACAGGTCCGGCCGGCGACCCATTCCCCCCCCCCCCAGTAGATCCGGCCATGGACACCGAGCCCCAAGCCCCGAGGCCATACCACCCCCCGGCAGAGCCCCGACAGAGCCAGGGCACCCAGGCCCCGCCAGGCAGCAACCAGGGCAGACCGACGTGCACCCCACCACCCAGCCCAGACACCGAGAGCCACCAATGCACCGACGGCAAGGGGGTCCCCCGCCAAAGGGGGGCACGACCGGGGGGAGTGGGCCCCACACCAAATGTGGGGCCAAAATTGATCCAAGAGAGGGGTACCACCAAAAACCCAACCTGAGCAACCAACAGGCACACACAGATAGCATGCACCATCTACCTGACAGCGACCACAGGCCGGCCCCAGCCCAAAGGGCAGAGCAGCAGGGAGCCGCAGCTGAGGAGGGCCGGCCCCCACATCAAGAGCCCCGCACCATAGGCCCGGAGACGCCCCAGCACGCCACCTATGCACCCCCCCACACACACAGCACCCCCACCGCAAATGCCACACAGGAAGACCAGCCAGTGCCCCGATGAGGCGAAGCCACGCCCCCAACCGCCGCCCTACACCACCAATGACCACACGTTCACTACCATAGCCGACCCCCCGCCGAAAGCCGGCAGCCACCCCGGTCAAAGTGCCGGCCATCGCAACCAGGAACCTAGATTAAAAGAATCGGAACAGCCCAGGAGGAACCAAAGCACCGGCCCCATCACTGACCGCCCCCAAGGCCCAAAGCCCACCCACAGCCCAGACCCCAACAATGTGCCCCCCTCCCCCTCCATCCCAGACCCCTAGTGTCACACGGAGAAAGGAGGTGTTTGTGAAAAAATAAATAAAGACTGATAATCCTATAAATTATAGATATATAGTTTTCCCTCTTTTTGAGAGTGGTTCCCCAAGGTTTGATAAATTATTAATTAGTAATAATTCATAATTTATATATTCTATAATCTACTCCTACAAGAGCATGATGGGAAATATGAGTACTTTGAGTCGCTACTCAAAGTGAATGAGTGAATGAGTGAACAAAATGAAAGGAGAAAAGAGTAGTGGTCATAAAAACTGTAAAACTAAGAAGTGGGGGTGAAGTTTAAAAAGCTTTACAGAGGAAGAAGAAGGGGAAAGCAGCAGGACCAGATGACATACCATTGGAGATTTGGAAATGTCTCGGAGACTCCGCGGAGGTTCGCGTGTAGTCAAGGTAGACTCAACGCGGACTCGAAAAGGACGTCTGCCGGCCATATCCACGTAAAGATCAATTTTTATGACCGTGTATGCGTACTCAGTGTCGCACAATAAACTGCCCGGCAATAGATTGTTTTGTATGTGACACCAACTGCTCTCTGTGTTCTGAGCAACCAGTCGCAAGTATGTGCAGTGCGACTGCCACTCTCTGTGCAGTGCTCACAGGTGTGTGGTGGCTGCTCTGGTGGTGAAGAAATTAGGCTAAGCACCCAAGTAGCTCATTGAATTTGCTAGAATCCATTCGAAAATATTCTAAATGTTTCTCGCTGTCCATTGTCTTCATGTCCCACCTTATTTTCTTTTGTTTTTTTGCCAAGAGGAAAGTGATCACTTCCTCCTCATCTGTTAACACTGAAATTGTGAGAAATGAAGGAATTTGTCACTAGAGAATTAAAATCTGCACGCTCGAGTATGAAGTCTCAACCATCTGCAGACAGTCCACGTGTAGTCGCGCGGCTCACGGAGTACGCACAGTACACCTGAGTATGTTGTGGCCTTAATGAAAGGTGACTATTTGTGACCAGCAATATGGTTTCATGCCAGGCACCACAGGCACCACAGATGCCATCTTTGCCTTGAAGATGCTGATGGAGAAGTACAGAGAGGGTCAGAAAGAACTTCGTTGTGGATTTAGGGACACAGAGCTGTCCTCCAAAATGAAAGGTGAAGGCATTTGCTTTTACGTCTATGGTGGCTGGAGTTCTGGTTTGACAGTAATCCCGTAACTCTATTCCTGGACCTGAAAAGCCTTTTCTTCCACTGTGAGTTAATTACATTCATCCTGGTCATGTGTACATTTTGCCACACCAACCACCATTTAACACTTTCCATCAGATCCTGGGCATGGAGCAGACCGATATAATTTTGAGTAGCTATGTGAAAATTTTCATAAAAAATAAAATAGCAACAGGGCCCCAAAGCAAAGTCCTTGTATAGGCAAATGTACTTGTAAATCAACAATTATGATACTTTTTTAAAACACAATCATGGTTCATCATAATTTGTGGGTGCTCAAAGGACAAAAAAACCTGCACATTTCAGAGGTCTACTGGATAATGTTTACATATAACATTGTGATCTGTGGTGAGAGCAGTGAACAGGTGGTTGAGAACTTGGAGAGGTGCAGGTATGTACTTGAAAGAAGAGGAATGAAAGTCAGCCATAGTAAGACAGAGTACATGTGTGTGAATGAGAGGGAGGCCGGTGGACCAGTGAGGCTACAAGGAGCAGAGGTTACAAACATGCAGGACTTCAAGTACTTGGGGTCCACTGTTCAAGAAAATGGGGAGTGCAGAGAGAGGCCAGACTGAGAAGGTTTGGACATGTCCAGAGGAAGGATAGTGGGTATATTAGTAGAAGGATGTTAGCAATGCAGCTGTCAGAAAAAAGACAAAGAGGAGATTCAATATATGGATGCAGTTAGAGAGGACATTGAGGTAGTTGGAGTGGGGACAGAGGATGCAGAGGACAAAGTGAAATGGAGGAGGATGGCTTGCTGTGGAGACCTCTGAAAAGGGAACAGCTGAAAGAAGAAGATAATTTAAAAGGGCTGTTTTAAAACTTACGTTGGCCAGCCCTCCCCTGTGGAGACAGTGAAAAGAGTCAGGAACGCCCACAGCACATTGTCATAATGGAACTCGTATTTTTTCCACTCTCTGGGCATTGCTGCCACCTCATCTTTGTCGTAGTCTAGGAATTGTCCTCTGGAAGACATGAAGTAATGTCTGACATTAGATTGGTACGTCTCAGCATTTGACACTTGACAGTTTTAACAATTCTGAGAAAAGTGATGGGAATGCTGGAAGGTTTAGACCGACTTGCAGTCCTTTTCCAAGGTTTTGGACTCATCGGTGCAATAAAAGAATTTCCCCTTGAACAGCTGAACTGCAATAACAGCAAAAATGAACATGAAGAGGATGTAAACGATGAGGATGTTCAGCACGTTCTTCAAAGAGTTGACCACACAGTCAAACACCGCCTGAGAACACAGAAAATACACATTTTACACATATCAGCATAGTACTCAAAGGCATATGCAATACAGTCTGCTAAAAAGTATTATGCGTGTCTTTCTTAAGTACATTTGTGTGTAAGTATCCAAGCTCTGAAATAGGAAACATTAGGAACATTCTGTTGAGTAGGCAGTATTCAGAATAAATACTTTCTAACAAAACTTTCGAATATTGAGAAAATAACATGACTGTAATTCTGCTGGATTGATGTAAACTCCTGTTTAATGCCTTTTTAATCATTAACAGTATGCCTAATTCATGATGTACTTAATGTACAATTCCACAAAATAAATAAATAAATAGGAAAGAAAAGAAAAAAAACAGAGGAACTGTTGGAGATTAAAAAAACTTCTAAACCTCCAAAAATTTAGATCCAAAGTTGTTTTGTCAAAAACTGTTTCTATTTTAGAGGTCAAAATATGGCCATGTCATTAAAATAACACTTGTGTTCTTGCAGCAATAATCATAACAAATCAAACTAAATTGATGAACCACAAAAATGTTAAATCTTGTCATCTGGACTGGGGGGGGGGGGGGGGGGCGGGGACAGAGTGCCAGC